TCATTTAGAGAATTAACATTATTAAGACAAGTGGAAAGTGATTTAATTGACCATTATGTTAATTTAGGAGGAGACAAGACTTAAGTAGCAAGGTAATCATTATGTTCATCTGATGACTCAATAAGTTATAAATAAATTTTGGGAATAAGCCTGAAAAAGACATTAAGTGAGCAACACCCAAAATTAAAAGATTTAGGCCAATCTACTAAAAGAAATTAATGTAATAATGAAGAAATTAATGTAATAATGAAAAAGTGTTATTAATGTATTGAACACTTTTAGAAAGATTACATGGAATATAAAGAATGATTCGGAAAAAAATGGTAAGCTTTTGACTTTTGTATATTTCGAATTACTTATTGAAATTCTTTCTAATATATGATAGGTTGATTTAAGTAGTAATGTTTATGTTTCTAATAGATGCAAGAATTTTTTATGGCCTAAACCACAAATTCAAATAAGAATTTCTTATTTATGATAATTGGGAAAAAGTTTTGTTGAAACCATTGTGACATTATGTTTAATGTTAGATAGTGGATTTTATTTAAATTATTTTAAAATTTTTATGTTTATTCAATTTTCTATATTCTGATTTTATTTCAAAACTTTTTGTTAATAGTTTTTCATTTAAATTTGATAATGATGTTTATTCAAGAAATTCTAATTTGTAAGTTATAGTATTATTATTGACGAGTTCTGTAAATTCAAACTTGATAGTTTATTTATTAAAAATATTTTGATCTTGCATCATAATGTTAGAATTAAGTGTAACTCAATTAATAGAAAATTTATCTTTCTTGTGGCATAAAAGACTAGGTCAATATCTAGTGAAAGGTTAGGAAAATTAGTAAAGTATGTGATTCTTCAGTATCTAAACTTTACTGATTTTGGTGTGTGTGTAGATTATATTAAGGGTAAACAAACCAAACACACAAAGAAATGAGCCACAACAAGTAAATAGTTTTTTTTTTTTTTTTTTTTTTTTTTTTTTTTTTTTTTTAAATTATTCATACAAACATTTGTAGACCTTTTGATATTTCATCTTTTGGAGGAGAAAAGTATTTTATCGCCTTTATAGTTGATTTTTCACATTATGGATATATCTATTTGTTGTATAAAAAATCTCAAGCAGTGGGTACTCTTGAAGTATTTATAAATGAGGTTGAAAAACAATTAGATAGAAAAGTGAAAATCATAAGGTCATATAGAGGTGGTGACTATTATGGAAAGTATGATGAAACGGGTTAATACTCTAACTGTTTGTTAAACTCCTTGAAATATATGGCATTTGTGCTCAATACACTTTGCTATACATGCCACAGCAAAAGCGTGTAGCTGTAAGGCGTAATTGTACTCTTATGGAATTGGTTAGGAGTATGTTAAGTAATTCCTTATTACCCATAATGTTGTGGATGTTAAGTAATCTAAAGGGTTTAAGTTTTACTATCCTAAATATAGTACGATAATTATTGAAACCGGTAATGTCAGATTCATTGAGAATGGTCAAATCAGTGGGAATAATAAAAATAAGAATTTGATCATTTCAGAAGTTAGGGTACAAATCTCTTTACCCATAACTTATAAGGAAATAATTGTTCCTTCAGTTATTGAACCGTATAACAACGAAAAACAATTGAATGATCAACAACTCCATAATGAGATTGTCACTAATGAAAAGATTGTAGAAGAATCACAGAGGAGTAACATTGAGAAGATCTAAAAAAGAAAGGAGATCTGCTATTCCGGATGACTATGTGATATAACTGCAAGAATCTGATTTTGATATATAGTGAGATATATACGGATCCGGTTACATATTCACAAGCCATTAACAGTAATGATTTTACTAAATGGATTAGTGTTATGAATAAAGAGATTATAAAGAAACATTCTCTCTAGTATTTAAGAAGGAATCTTTTAAAATATCATGGCATTAGTAACTTATTTTTAGAGTTATATCAAATGGATGTGAATACAATTTTTATGAGTAGGAGTTTATAAGAGGAAGTCCATATAGAACAACTTGAAGGTTTCACATTAGAGGGTAAAGAATTCATGGTCTGTAAACTTAAGATACCAATATATGAATTTAAACAAGCTTTCTAACAATGGTATATTAAGTTTAATGATACCATTATTTCTTTTAGTTTTAAGGAAAACACTGTTAATCAGTGTATATACTAGAAGGTTAGTGGGGGTAAGTTTATATTTCTGATTCTATATATTGATGATATTTTATTTACTAGTAGTGATCTTAGTTTATTCTATGAGACTAAAAGTTATCTCTAAGAACTTTGAAATGAAATATATGGATGAGGTATCATACGTGATAGGAATAGAAATATTTCATAATAAATCACATTGATTTTTTTTTTAGAATTGTCTCATAAAGCATATATTAAGAGAGTTCTAGAAGATTTGGTTAGAGGAACAATATTATGAAAAAGTGCAAAGTAATTTATTATTACTTTGTCTATTATGAAATTTTAATTTGTAGCATGCTTTAAGGCTACAATTTATGGTTGCAGAATTTATTTCAGAACTTAGAATTATGGGTACTATTTTTAGATTGTTGAAAATTTATGCTGCAATTGTTGATCTTCTTGTATGAAAAATGATAGGTACTCTAAAGTTGAAATACTTTATCATTAAAAAAGATATTTAGAAACAACAAATGTCTATTGAATATATAAGCACACAATTTATGATTGCAATCCATTAACGAATGAACTACTACCCAAGACCCATTCATGAAAAATGTTGAAAGAATGAGTTTTGAATGTAGTCAGTGATGATTATTTGTAATTGTGGATTGTTTAACAGTGTTTATATATATTTGACATTTTACGCTGATTAAATGTGTTTATGATATTTCCTATTAATTAATGTACATGTACGTATAACTTTAATAAATGGTAATAGGAATAGTCTTGGAAAAGACATTATTGTTAGATCATTATCGAAATTTCTCATTTATAGACTATGTTGAATAGATTATTAATGTTGTGGTACATGGAAGGGACTGTGTCATTTAAGAACATATAACCGCTATGACTCGCATTGGTAGTTTATTTACCATGGTATTTATGATGATCAACTTAATGAGTCAATCTGATTTATGGTGCACACTAATGACTATTTTACTAAACCACTACAGAAGTTATCATATGGGCCAAGTGGGAGAATGTAAGATTATTTATTAATTGTCTGGCCCACATGTTTTGGACATGTGATATATTTCATTAAATAATGGTTAAGTAAATATGTATCAGATTAATATTATATTAGTTGGTCAACTTATAATTACCTTTTTGGTAATTACTTATTGGCGAAGTGTTTTCCTTTCTTATTCTTTACTTTGATGGAAAGTACAATTGTATTACTAAAAGGAAAACTGGTCCTCTCTCTGCTTATATAAAAGTGCATATACTCCATCAATTATGTACAATTAATGATACAACACGTAAAAGTTTTATGTGTGCAAAAGGCCAAGAGAGAGAAACCAGTTTCCACCTTTGCCTGTTGATCAGAGTTGCAGATTAGTTCGTGGTTAAAGGATCTAAAAGTTAGATTTAATCTCAATAAGGTTTGATATTATGAATCGAGGTATTTATATCTAACCATTTATTTATGCATTATAGATATGTGAAAATCATGAAATTCTAAGACATGGGATTCATATTTATTTGTGATGAATGGCTTAACACGAATAATTATAGTTTACACTTTTGACTTGTATTATATATTTTTAATATATATTAAGTTTCATATTTATCATTTTATTTTTTTCTCTTCTCACGTTTTATATATTGTTTAATTTGTATTTATTTTGTACTTAAATCTATTATAATTCATAAATTTAGTAAAACATACACTCACCAAACCTTTTAAGAAAGGACATCGACTTCAGATTCATATATAGGTGTGTTAAAGATCAGTAAAAAATTCAACAAAAATCATTAGCATTCAAGAAAGAAAAAGAAAAAAAAAAATCATTAAAATCCCAAATTAAAATCGAATTATGCTTTGTATTGGTGCTTTTTTTGACTCGTGTGCTCAAACAAAAGATTCACGATTGTAATAACTAATTTTGTATTGTTACAATGATATTGATCTACACCTGCGACGATGAATCATGATTAGAATAATTAAAAAAAAACTCGTAAAAGGTGCGAAAATGTTCAAAAGGACATGTCACTCGATGAAGTTGTACCGGTCATTCTGATATATTTGTTAAAAAACTCAAAATGTCTTAAACTATTTAACCATTCTCTCTCTCTCTTCGAACTCTCTTACCCTCTCTTTTTATACAATATATATAAGTCACTGAAGGGCATTGTGGTAATTTTGAAAAGGATAATTTTGGATTTTTGACTTTTTGGTTATAATTTGTTGAGAATGGTTATAGGATGGATATGCAATTTATACACATTTTTCAAATGTTAAGAGGTTATATACTTTATACTGAATAGGATGACGATTTATTGCACATCTATGTATATTTATGTATGTTTATAATAGGGAGTTTCTTGCACTTTACCCTAATATTGTGTTTGGGATAATCGATTTCGATGCTATGAATCATAACATCAAGTTTTTTAAAAGTTAGGGATTTTAGTTCTTTGTAATTAGAGCCATGTATTTATTCGTATCTTATGTAATGATAAGATGGGATTTCTAGTTCTTCGTACTTGTCGTGTATTCATTCTTATCTTGTGTAATGATAAGATGGGATTTGAAATGTAATGGTTTTTTGCAATAGATACCCACGGAGAACCGCCACCCAAACTTATGTATGCACATTTTAGGACAACGTTGAACAAACATACTAGACATTCTATTGATATGAAGTGTTTATATATAGACATGGAGTATGAAAAAAAAAAAAAGGTACAAAAGGTGACAAAATATGTTGAGCACATATTTTGTTTTATTTAGTAGTATATCAATACTACACTAGGTAACTATTCTTCCACATTGTATAACTGAGTTGGATGGTTCTAAGAATGTAGTATTAGGGTTGACAACATCTGAGAGACAATGCGCATGGTCGGCCTGGATTGTGGATTGACATTTAAACATGCAATGGCCAGTTTTATAATTGACATCAACACCTCTTCAGCTTCGGTTGAGGGAGCTGAAATGCGTTGGTCCAACACATCTTTTTGCATTATATTCTGATCAATAGATGAAGATGATAATGAGGTGATGAGATTGCCTAGATGCTTTCCTTTGATCACTTCCAGTGACAACACTCCAAAGCTATACACATCACACTTTTCAGTTACCTTCATTGTGAAAGCAAGCTCTGCAAAGAAAAAGTAAAATATGATGATGTATAATTGATCTGGAGTACTATATATGTCAAATCAGTTAGAAGAACACAAAGCTATGTTTACCAGGTGCTATATATCCATATGTGCCTGCAAGTGTGCTCCAATTCGAGGAGTCTAGCTTTAGAAGCTTAGCAGTGCCGAAATCTGAAACATGAGGCTCATACTCGGGGTCTAACAAAATATTGTTGCTTGATATGTCCCTGTGAACAATTGGTGGTGAGCAATCATGGTGCATGTAAGACACAGCATGAGCCACCCCCTTAATGATATTCACCCTTTTGGGCCAATCGACATTTTTAGCCTCTTCATCTCTCCTCAGGACCGTGGCCAAGCTACCTCTTTCAAAATACTCATAAACCAAAAAAGAGTGTTGAGCATGTGAACAGAAACCATATAGCTTTACAATGTTCCTATGTCGAATTTTTGTCAGTGCTCTTACCTCATTCAAAAACCCTTTACCGTCTTCTGTCTCAGACAACGGGTGAAGTTTTTTCACAGCCACTATATTGTTTGATGGCAACTTTGCTTTGTAGACAGTTCCATATCCTCCTTGCCCAATGCAATTTGAGGCATCAAAATTGTTGGTGGTTTTTAAGATTTCATCATACATTGCTCTTCCATCAAAATTGGAAACTGAAAACAGATTGTTATCATACAGCAAATCACCTTGTTCAATTAGTGCTTTACCTTTTCTTCTTCCATACATGATGAGGAGTCCAATGAATGCACCAAGAAGTAAAAGTGCTCCCATAAGAGGTAATACAATTATAAGAACTAACATGGGTTTGTCGCTTTCTTTCACAATGTGTTGGCCATCTTCGCAAGTTTTCAATCTTGTAAGATTGCCACACAAACCGTTGTTCCCTTGTAATTCCTCTATGGTAGCATTTCTAAAGGCATTGTTGCTGGGAATGGGACCTTGAAACCCATTGTAGGATATGTCAACATATATCAACCCATGCATTTCTTCAAAAGACTCTGGAAGGAAACCAGAGAGGTTATTGTGGGAGAGATTTAGCTCCTCCAAACTCTGCAAATTATTAATTTGCGAAGATATTTCTCCCATTAGAAAATTATGGCTCAAGTCTAGCTCGGACAGTTGAGCTAACTTATACATCTCTGGTGGAATATTTTGGCTAAAACGGTTGTAGCTCAAGTTCAAGTAATGCAACTGCAAGCAATTTTCTAGAATTCCAGCTATTGCACCACTCAATCTGTTTTTGGACAGGTCAAGATACAACAGATCAACTAGTAGTCTGAGTTCTCTAGGTATACTGCCAGAAAGTTGATTATCTTTCAAATCAAGCACTAGCAAGTCCAACTTCCCTAGTTCCTTTGGAATATCCCCAGCTAATTGATTCAAAGAAAGATCAATCACCTGAAGTCGAGATAAATTTCCCAACTCTTGTGGTATTCGTCCAGTGATATTGTTCCTTGCCATCTTTAGGCTAGTCAAATTTCGGCACTGTCCCCACCTATAAGACATTTCACCAAAAAAGAAGTTGTTACTAAAATCTATGAATTGAAGATTTGGATAGACACCAAAAACTTCAGATACATCTCCACTGAGCTGGTTTCCATCCAGGCGCATTCGGGTTAGGCTGGAACAGTTTCTCAAGCTTTTGGTAATAAGACCAGTAAGGTGGTTATTGTTTACCGCGAATTGTTTCAGTTTTCCGCCTTGGCAAAACTTTTCAGGCAAATCGCCAGAAAAATGATTCTCATCCATTGCCAGTATAACCAAGTTCTCCAGATTCCCAATTTCTCGTGGAATGGGACCAGAGAGTTGGTTGTCGCGGAGGAACAAGTTCTCCAAGTTGCTCAGATTACCAAATGAAGCAGGAACAAAACCATTGAGTTGATTCTTACTCAATAGTAGATCATTGAGAGACTTTAACTTCCCTAATTCTTTAGGAAGGGGACCGGAGAGTTGATTTTCATAGAGAGATAGTTGAGTTAGGAAGCTTAGATCACCTAAGGATGCCGGGATTGAGCCAGAAAGATTGTTTGTATAAAGGATCAGACTCTCAAGGGACTTCAGGTTTCCTATCTCTGGGGGAATTGGATGAGAGAGCTGATTTTGGTATAGGTACAACATGGTAAGCTTATTCAATTTCTTGAAAGTGGAAGGGATGGGACCTGTGAGCAAATTTTGACTCAAATCAAGCTCGACAAGATTGATGAGATTTCCCATTTCTGGAGGAATGGAACCAAACAGTTCGTTTTCATAGAGATACAAATAAGCCAAGTTACTCAAACTGCCCAAAGAAGTGGGAATGGGACCATCAAGATCGTTAGAGTACAAAAAAAGCTCATAAAGGGACTGTAGCTGGCCTATTTCTACAGGAATTGAGCCATTTAGGTGATTCTGGAATAGGTGGAGGACTTGAAGATTTGTTAGCAGGCCAATTTGTGGTGGGATTATTCCGGAAAACTGATTGATGGACAAATCAAGATAGATGAGTTTTGTGAGTTTACCAACTTGAGGTGGGATGCTACCGGAAAAACCATTCATGCTGAGATCAATATATGCAAGATTAGGAAGATATGAGAATGGGAAATCATAGAGAGTACCGTTCACACTTGAATTTGTGAGGTTCAGTCTCGTGACACTTCCATCAACATTGCAAGAAACTCCAGACCAAGTGCATGGGATGGCACTTGTTTTTGGAGGGCTTGAAGAACTAGTGGCATTATAATTAGAAGGTAAAATCCATGAAGTTAGCACAGAAATATTTTGTTGTTGAAGGTTGGCTTTCCATTTGAGGAGAGCTTTAGCTTCTTGAACAGAAGCAGAAGCTAAATTGGGTGAAGACAACAACCCAACAAACAAGACTAATGAGAGGACCTTCTCTAAGGTTGAAGACCCCATGGCTTATGTTTGATGTGTAGCAAATGTTGGTTTAAAGCTCTTATTTATATACATCTTATGCTACAGATCCCATACTATATTTTTTTGGCTATAACTCCAAATCATACCATTGATTTGAATTTACCCAAAAAAATTATTTATTTACCCGAAAAAAATACAATTGATTTGAAATTTACTTGGCCGTCCGTTATCTTTTGTCCATAGCCGCCGATGTCTTAGGTGTCTCCCTTCTTGCTTTAAAATTGAAAAGCACGTTTTGTTTTGACTGTTTTATGTAGACTGGTCTTGGTCAGTCTTGTTCATTCTTTGACGAGGATAATATTGTTTCCTTATTTGCTGTTACTGTTTTCAGTGTATGTTGTGCTTAAAGAGTGTGGTCAGCGTAAAAGATTGTTAAGGCTACGGATTAGTTTGATTGTCTGGGAATTGTGTTTGACTGGGAATTAAGGTGACGCTGACGACCAAATATATCTAAAGAGTACTAAAATAGGGTATAACTTATAAGCAATGGGGTACGGTTATAAGTGTAGACTGGTATTGGTCAAATCAATTAGTGTGGATTGCTTGGGAATTGTGTTTGACTGGGAATTATGTGATTGGTTGATGCAGAAGACAGTATATATCTAAAGAGTGATAAAAATAGGGTATGTAAGCAACAGGGCATGCTTATTAGTGTAGACTGGTATTGGTCAAGTCTTGGTAATGCATACCAGCTACAACCAATTATGAACCACACCGTATGTCAATAGAATGTGTGGTTTTTTTTGAAGCCTTTGATTTCCTCCAAGATTCATAATAGTGCTTTGATTCAGAATAGCAGAAATAAACCACACATTATATATATATATATATATATATATATATATATATATATATATATCATGCTTAGACATAGTTGTATTTTATTATTATTATTATTATTATCCCTTAAACATAGTATTACTACTACAACTTCCTCTGTTCAGTTTTTCGTTGGATCCCTATACAGAAACAAATTAAAATGACAAGGAAAGCTTTAATACTAGGACAATGCTATTCTAACTTAATTTAAGCATCTAGACTTGGGTGTTGGTCTTTAATACAAGGACAATGCTATTCTAACTTAATAATCAAGCTCAATTGCTTGATCGGATAATTTGTCAGCATTAAATACAATAAAATAAATTATTAAAGATCACTACAGTGGTTCACTTTGAAACATAGAAAGTTTCAAATTACAAATGGTTCGGTCAAACCATTGGACTTGACTATTCCCTTTGAAAATAATTCTCCTTGATGCTATGGCGTGTAGACTTGTATTGGAAACAATTTAAGCACATTAAATACCATGGAGATTGCGTTTTATGGCCAGCTAAAGAAGACTGGCAGTTGTGTTATTTTATGTATAAATATGTATGAAATGTGACATGAGAAAGAAGAAAGCATAAGTAAAACAAATTAGAATGATAAGCAAATCTTCTCCGAGCTCTTCTTCTATCGTATGCTGCGCATTCTTGTTCGTGATTTGGATTATCAAGTTTTCACCTGCAATGTGTGCGAGAAACTTTTCCTCCATTCCCGACAGCTGTAAGTACTCTCTTCCATAATCATTTATTTTATTTTATTTTTATATTTATTTATTTTATTTTTTTCAGACAAAAATAGTAAAGTTGGAGGAACAATAAGCGGTGCTCATCTGCCTCCCACGGCATGGACTCCCTTTGGAGGATAGTCAGTAAAACAAAGAAAGCATGGATTTGCTTTTATATATTTAGCCAAACTAATGATGTGTCGAATGTACACTACAATGTTATTCCACTCAATTTGAATTTTTCCTTTCAATTCTTATGTAGAGAACTGTTATAATAATTTGGTCAATGATTCATCCAAAGAGCCATATATATATATATTTATGAAGGTGGAGTTGCTTGCTTAATTAATTCATTGATCCAAAGTAAATGTCTTTATCTACACTTTGTTTTTTATTTTTTTTATTTTTTATTTTTTATTTTTTATTTTTATCATCTTGGCAAATAACATATGCACTCACTTGCCTTTAATCTTTATCATAACTTCAACCTTCAGGTTTCAATTTTAAAAAGTGAGTTGTTAGACTACATTTTTTGGTGGTATTGGTATCGATTTTACTGCACAAAAATCCTCAACTTTGCACCTATCACTGGAACTGTCCAGTGAAGGGTAAATTGCTGAGTTGGCAAATGGATTAAAGCTGTATTTACTTGTAACTATCCAAAAAGATACCAAAAATATAATAATAATAATAAGAAATAAAATTTTGGCATGACCTCCGCAGAAAAAGTCCTTCTACAACCTGTTGAAATACACAAAAATGCAATGGCTTCACTGGTCTCAAAACTAATCTATTATGTGCCAACGCACAATGCAATAATATACAACATCCCTAAAATCAACACTTATATATAAAATGTCACGTTCTTCCATTTCATCCAAACAAGGAATCACTTTAATTAAGTTACAGTTCATGAAATATATTTATTTACACAAATTCTACCATTATAACACTATACAAGTTACACTTAATTTTTTATAAAAGGTATATGATCATGTTTCTATACAAAAGACAACAAAATAAGAGTTCTAGTCCAGTCTTAATTTACGATGGGTTGTCGTCCGCCCCTTCTTTTCCCAAACCTAAAAAAAAAATATTAAAATGATGGAGTGAGCATATAGCTCAGTAAGAAGTATCTAAGACGCACTTCTTATGACCTCGCACGTGCATATGATAAAAGAAGTACGAGATACGAGATCATGCTATAGGGAAAATCATAGCAACAATAGTAACCACAAGTACATGTACAGGTCATCTAATCACAAGATACACAATGTATGCCAATGCGACGCCATGCCATGCAATGTCACTCCCTATTTCAGAAACAATACCGTTTCAACTTCCAAACCGTTAGAGCAATCCAACCCAAGGCACCTCTAAGGTGTCACGAGAGAGGGGTTGGCTAGCTTTCCCCGACCACATGGCACCTCCATAGCGTCGTCTGGCCTAGGTAGCTCAACCACACTAGAGTCTCTCTCTAGCCCCCCACTAGATTACACTAACACCACGAACCACTAGGCACCTCTTAGGCGTCTGGGTTTTCGCAAACATTTCCGAAACTTTTTCCCAAAAACAATTTCATTTTTTTTTTTTTTAAACACATTTTCCCTTTTCTTTCCCAATGAATGCATGAGTTATGCAAATCTTCAATGCCATGACAATATAGAAATTTCCTACATATCATCCACATCATTCAAGCATGTTTAAAATATGAATTTTCACACAAAATCACATTCTCATATTTCCTAAATAATGGCATTTTACATACTTTCAATTAGTAAGTCCAACAACTTAATTACGTAAGGCATAAAATAAAATATCTATGCATGTATCATCTTATCAAAGAAGCTATCATATAATCATACACTTTTTACACCATGTAAAAATCATGTATATAATATATGTAAATCATATCTCAAGAATTTAACACAATATATACATGCTTGTACATCAATTAAAGGAGATTAATTCACAAAACTCAAAGAAATGGGTATTAGAACATTCCTACCTCAATTTAAAGAAAAAGCCGCAAAATGAGTCCAATTTTTTGAAATCCCTAAGGTGGCCAAAAGTGTGAATTGCTGGTATCTATGTGTATATCTCGTCGTGCTCTCCGATTTGCCGCAAACGGCACTTAAAAATCCCAAAAATTGAGGGAAAAATCTAGGATTGAAATTTAATAGAGAAGAAAAAAGAAAAAGAACAAGAAAAGAGAGAGAGAAATGCACAGCCGGGGGAAAGAGAGGGAGAATGAGACCAAAGTGGTCTCTAGGCCATAAAAATGGTGGTGGGTCCCACCACTTTTAATTTAAAATTTTCTTTTTATTCTTTTATTTTACACCACAATTATATACACACACAAACATATTAAATCGCATCCATATAAAACACATCAAATAAAATGTATGAGATGTAAATGGGCTCAACCAACACCCCCGTACGCAACAATTCTGGTAGCGAGTCCCACACGGGACCGTCCGGCCTGAAAAATTGAAAAATGTCAAAATAGTTACTCTTGTATTTCAAAGAGTCTTGAACTCAATGAAATGCCCCAAACTAACTTACGGACACAACTGGCACACTTCACAGTATCCGGCACACAAAACGAGAAAAGACGAAAATGCCCTTGCAATGACAAAAATTTCGAAAAAATGGAAAATGATGAAATTCAGAAGTATTACATTACTTCACTTTGTCTTATACATACTTCTTTATACTCTATATTATTGCAAACTGTATTTGAGTTTCAATTTTCAATCCCCCCCCCCCCCCCCCCCCCCCAAAAAAATGAAAGTTAACGTTCCCCCTAAAACTCTGCAATATATACTGAGTTTGAAATATCAAATAGGAAATCCCTATCTGAAATTTGAAATATCCAAACTCAACCTCATCCAAGATCATTGGTATCAATTTAGACAAGGCAACCAAGAGAGTTTCTTACACATAAACATAAAGATTTTCAAGAAAAAGCAGAGCAAGTCATATTATCAGGCGAAGAAGTTGAACCGAGGACGTACAAATAAGCAAAAGGATCTCATTGTTCAAAAAAGGTCTGTTCTGAAACAAACAAAAGGAGAATTAGTCGAAAAAATCACCATACATTCTGACGAGAAGCTATAATTTCTAAGAAAGAGATATTCCCCTAAAAAAAAATTTCGACGGTCCGGCGAGAAGCTGAAACTCCGATCATTATAAGTATTAGGTTGTTATTTTGATTTTCTTGTAACTTTATTCATAATGATATATATACATATATCAAAGTTTATCTTATATGGCAATAATCCAGTGATAATCAAAAAAATTGAAGGCTGAGTTCATCACCTACTTTTTCTAGTAGCATACAATACGAAAGTTGGACAGATCAATTTATTATGCTCACAACTTATTTAAACATGTATTATGTATGAATTGCATATTGCATCAACATATT